TCAGCTTATTAACATTGTAGCCTTCCTTAACTTTTAAATACTAGCAGGTTAGGGGCTCAACATACATCTTACATAATTATACTGATAAGGCTACACTCAATTTCATTTTACTTTAACTTCTATTCACTTTAAGCCAGTTAATAAGAAGGTTTACATCTTTACAAAGTTAGTGTGGTTTTAAAGTTCTTAGCTCTAGAATTTATGCTAATTGTAAAAAATTAGGTAAAGCATTTAAAACCAACTTATCTTATTGATGAAAGAACAGCATAAACAATATTAGTGTTAATTCCAAGATAATCCTAAAGTTAAGACTAAGATTACAATAATTTAACACTTTACATAAAGGAAAAGTGTTGTGTGCAACTTCTTCCCACTTGTACTGTTTATGCAATACAAAGTAAAAAATAATTCCACATTCTTGTTACACAGGCAAACAAACTTGTTAAAATATACAAGTATTTATGTAACAAGTTATTACTAAAAACAACAACAATGAATTTTTTTTTACGACCTTTTACAGAATATAGTAAATTAAGACAAAAGACCATGAATTAGCACTATAGCTTATAAAGCTAGAGAAAACCTGATATTTTACTTTTACATAATATGCTATTTAAAAACATAATGTAGACTAAACATTAACTTATTACCGGAATAACTATAGTCCATGATTCATAATATACCTAAAGAATATACTCATTGTCTTTGGAATTTGAGTGTCTACTTAAATGGCTAGTTACATATTGTTGTGACATGTTCTGTTGTTGGGGTAATCATTCTGGATTACTTGGTAAAAATAATGTCATGTCCAATCAGTGTAATAAAAAATTTCTTCAGTTAAGTTTGCTATAGGTTATGTTCACTCTGATACAAGTTTCAGGCCTAGTTTCAGACACAGATATTCATAGACAAATAGTATGCCTAAATCACTAATAAAAACTTGCAGGGTTTCTTCTGTAATCAATTGAGTAATTGAATAACTAAATAACTTACTATTAATATTGAATTAAATAACTTACTGGATCAAAGAACAAGATTTATTACTCTACATACAACTTATTACTTCTAGATGAAGAACAGGTGATCATGATTAGCTCCCTCTAGCCAACAATATCTACACCAAAACATTGAAAATATAGTTTACAGCAATATTATAAAAAGTTGATTCAGGTACATTCCCATTCTTACACATACTATTTACAAATTTAAATTATTTTTGGGTCAACTTATTTATCCCATTAAATTTTCAGCAACATGCATGAGAAAGATTTTAATTGGAGTAAGGGAAGGAGCATGATGATCTAGCTTTGAAAAACTTGGATTCGTAATATAATTTGAAGCTGGTAGAATTTCTCTTTTCTAACCCAATACAAAAGTCAGATTAAAAGTGGAATGTGGCATTATTCATTATAATAATAATAAAATAAACAAAGAAGAAAAAGAGAGATCATTCAGATTTAAACACCACTACACAGGATCAACAGAATTGATTGATGGAAAAATATCTTTTTAGAAAAAAAAATAAAAAACTGATCAAATCAAGAGCCTAATGTAAGGCCAACATCCAGTGCCCAGAAGGCAAGTACACACTGTTTGTCCATTGTTTTGATAAAGTTTGCTTTCATTTTGTATTACAATATCTAGTACGTTTATTTCTTAGTTTAAAATCAGGCCAGTTTAACTAAATTCAATATTACTTAATTTATTTGTAATCCTTCAATGACAAAGAACAGTTACTTAATACTCTTTGCAGAAATCATTTCAACCTGAAAATATGACTAATTTTTTGCAACGTCTTAATTTTCTGTTTATTATTTAAAGGTAATTCTATCAAAAGAAAAACAGTCAAATAATGATATCAAAAATGAAGTTATACTGCAACATACTTAGTAGCTATTAAGAGTTTGCCTTACATAACATTACATCTTTCAAATTTGTATTTAAAGTTATTCTGCCAATCTGTGATAAACTTTACCAGGAATAATAAAAACAATTGTCATTACAGTATTACAATTCACATTAATTTATGACGATAAACCTTAGGTCAGTTAGGTAGCTAAACTGGGAAAAGAAAGAAAAATGTGTAGAAAGCAATTAAGGATGAGAAACTGAATTCTATACAGTCTTTTACAAATAAACAACTAACTTCTTAAACCTTTTAATAAGCATATACAAAATCAAAGCACTGATTATTCCTTACAATTAAAACTGTCTTATTTTAAAAATAAGAGTTTCACTCTACCTTAAGGAGTATTAATCCATACAAGAAAAATGATAAATAAAATTACAAGTAACTAATTTTATGAAGATTTGTGTTATCCCTCACTGTCCCAACAAGTTTTGCTAATTTAAGGTCAATATCTTCAACAAATTTGTTAAATGGTTTCTTTAGCTGTGACATAGCAGCTCATAGTTTTTCAAGTACAAATGTTTAGCTCATAGCTCTGCCATTTGAGATCTAATTACTTTTGGACTCAAGAGGTAAAACCCTTTCAATTGATGTACTTGTCTGCACAAGGTCTAAAACTAATTTACTCTAATCCTGCCTAAAAGAATATGTGCCACAGCTACTGAGGATTCCCTCTTGTTTTAATCTAGAATTTCTCTGTAACAACATTATC